ATTTCAGTACCACCGGGCCCTCCCCCCAGATCGAATCCTCTTTTTTAGTCCTTTGGGTACTGCCTACGTAGGGGTAGTACTGCTTGATTTTCACCCAGCAACCAACAAAATCCCAACCCCCCGGCTGTAGAATTCCAGCCTCCAGTGGCGTACCCAAGCATCCCCGACACCGTAACCCAGTGCAGATCGAGATACAGAAAGAAAATTATTACCACAAAGAGCAGAGGAGCTTATTCGAAAATATACCAAGTTCAAACCTCCACAGAACCCAAATATCGCTTTCGTAGCGATCAGACCCCGATCGAGACTCGGAAAGAATGCCCCTCACCTTCGAACCTCATGCAGAACCCAAACATCGCTGTCCCAGATTGAGACTCAGAAAAAGTGCCCCTCACCTGAGGCGTCCCTGGCCGAGCGGTAACGCCTTTTCTTAAACGTATTAATGGGAGTTTTGTGGAACGTGGATGGGTACCACATCGCTCTGAGGTGGAAGAATGTGGCAAGTCGTGAAGTAGCTAGAAAGGGAATTTTGATAATAGCTGTAAATCTCAGTAGCCTAGGAGTTAGAATAAAGACACATGGAAGCGCGGGAAACAACCAACGGACCAAGCTCACACATTTCGGGGTGTTTTGTCCCGATTGGTTGTCAGGTCTTGTAGGATTTCCTTTTGGGGTTCTTTTGGGTTTTCCGATTTGCGCAGGCGGATGGCCCCGTCTGAAGCAAAAGCAGTAAGGCGGGTGATTGAGTCCTGAATCTGACTGGAAAAAGCCCCAGACGGGGCCATCCGCCTGCGGAGGCATCTACAGAAGTGGGGAGGACACGGCCACGGAGTTTGGAGACGGAGAGTGGGGATATGTTTCATTGGAAGTACCTTTTGGAAGGGGCGTACAGTACTTTCTAGGAATTCGACATCTCGGAATTGTCCCCCTGATGAGATCGCGGACTGGCAGCGACCGAAACTAGTTGGGAATGCCAGCACTTTCCTCTTCTTGGGCTTTCACTCTTTCTGGCGACGAGGAGCGAGGTGGCCATAGCTACGGCTATGGTGCTCTTGTGCGTTAATTATTATTTTTCAGAAAAAATATTTCGAGACTGTTTTACACATATTGGCGCCGTGCTATCACGGTTTAGGTGTTATGCGTGTACTGACACTCGTCTTCTGCTTGTCCTATCTTCACCCCAGTTTGTCTCTTTTGTGCATAGGACTTGTGAGTTCTTCACTTCGACATGCTGTGCGGCGAAGAGGGTTTTTCTGTCGAAAGAGGCAATGTCGAGAATTTCCTGACATATGTTGAATGTCGTGATGTTTCAACTACATTGGTGTGGCGAGGATGAGACACGCATAAATCCAGAAGGGAAGGGAAAAAAAAAAAAACCAAAAAAAAAAAAA